CCCCTTTCTCCTGCTCTTCCGGCCTGTTACTCTGTGCTACGTCCGTGCTTACCTTGCTCCCGGAGACCCGGTCCCTCTCAGAGGGTAACAAGGGAAAGTGTTCAGTACAGATCAGTGAGTAAGCACCAGCCCGCCCGTGTTTACCTTGCTCCCGGAGACCCGGTCCCTCTCCAATCCTGAGATAGCATCCAATAAATTTATAGTTATTTAACTTATCTTACTAGTGTGGCTTGTTATTGCTATCTTGCTACTTTTATTACTCCTGAGAATAAGACATACTTTGATAAAAAGACTAATGCTTTTTTCCTCCCCAAGTATTGAGAGCCATGAGAAATACAGGCTAGTATTTTAAATGAAGCACCTGTTTGCTTTACTTTCTAACTATTAAAATTCCTTCCTTTCAAATATACATATATTTTGTCTTTTAATATAGAAAAATTTTAATGATTCCCTTATTCTACTTCTGATGATCCATTAAGGAATTATTCAGAACATAAACTGAAATAAACAGGGGCAATCTAATGTCCAGGCTTATGAACCTGGGCAGTTATAATGATTTTTGCTGTTAGAGGTTAAGTATTAAAGGAGAGTATGGAAAATTAAACTGCTTATTTCATAATCATAGTAAAAATTGCCTTTTAAAAGACTCCATATACTTATTCAGTGAAATAATTAGTGAATACTAATAGGAAAATACTTAAATAGAGAATAAAACCGGATTTTAAGGTTTACTCCTATTGCTCAAGTAATTTAAATTGATGAACAAAGTTTCTTCATCACACAAAAAAGAAAAATCCTATATTAACTGAACATGAGGTAAAGGAGACAGTAATAAATGGCATTACAGGTTGGCCACATTTCAACATTTTTGTAGGTAAATGAAATATTGGCTTATTTACCAGTGCTGCCTCCCAGCCCCACTGTCTGTATCTTGGATCATGAGTGAATCGCCAGAGGTACCAATAGGTTTCAATCACTTCTGGACGGAGGATGTAATACTTTTCAGCCTGCCGGACTGCCACAGCCTCTACTGCTCCATCAAACTTGAATGATTCAGGACCTAGCTTTAATGCTGTAACATGATAAGAAGAAATAAATGAGCAAAATAAAATTATCTTTGTTGTTTGATAGAGCATCTTCCTCCTTTGAAAAAATTGGGTATGCAATTAAGTTATTTTTGCTGTTATTTTTTAAATTTTTATTGTTCCTGTTTTGTAAAATGTGTTACTTTAAAAGATCCACATTTGGATCTCTTATAATAGACTTATAAATATTGCCTATTATTCAGATGTGCAACATTACTTCTGAATAATGTACCATCAGCATATTGCTAAATCTAACAATACAGACAAAAGTCCAGTAACTTTAAGGAAACAAACATAAAACTAGACATAAGCATATTACATATTCTATTTCAGTCCAAAATGAAACAGATTATATTGTGCAGAATTTTTAAATTCAAGATAAATGTAAACTCCTTTTGATATAATACACACATAGAAAACATTTCAGAACTCAGATCTTAACTTCAGTTATAGATATACTTTTCCTTCAAAACAAACTATATAGCAGCTAAGAAATAATACTTTTTAAACCTTAAGCCAGTTTCAAAAATAAAATCTATTATCCTATAGCCTCTGTAATATACAGCAAGGAAGAAGTTCATATTCTCCATCAATAACAATTTCATCTTTCAAACCAAACTCACTGCTGTTGAATCGATTCTGACTCACAGTGACCCCTCCTTGGGTTTCTGGGGTGGTATCTCTACAGAAGTACATTGCCCAGTCTTCCTTCCAAGGAGTGGCTGGTGCGTTTGAACCGCCAGCCTTCTGTAATCTGTCCATTTATCAGTTTGAATAAAACGTGGCCATTACACATATGGAGCTCTGGTGGCACAGTGCCTAAGGCACTTGACTGCTAACCAGAAGGCTGGCGGTTCAAACCCACCAGCCACTCCTCGGAAGGAAGGTTGGGCAATCTACTTCCGTAGTGATGTTTTGTTTGTTTTTTTTGTTATGTGCCTTCGAGTCAGCCCTGACTCATAGCGACCCCTCCTTGGGTTTCCGAGGCAGTATCACTACGGAAGTAGGATTGCCCAACCTTCCTTCCGAGGAGTGGCTGGTGGGTTTGAACCACCAGCCTTCTGGTTAGCAGTCAAGTGCTTTAGCCACTATGCTACCAGAGCTCCTAACGTAGTGATACTGCCTCAGAAACCCAAGGAGGGGTCGCTATGAGTCGGGTCCGACTCGACAGCACCTAACAACAACAACATCATTACACATATACTTCAATATTCCATGCTATTTCTTGAATGATATGATTTACATTTAGGCTGGAGTACAGCAATACATGAAAGATTTTTCAAGAACCCACTCTAATCACACCTGCACCTAAATTTGGGCAATTTAGTCATCTTCCATTGGTACACTGGAGTCACATGCAATTACCATTCTCTGGTGGCAAAGGTCAAAATAGTTCAAGACCTCTCCTCTCTTTTGAGAAACAATGGATGCTTTTACATTTTTTCAGAAAAGAAAAGGTGGTACAAGAACTATAATCATGCCACAGTTGTTGCCATGACATATGTTGGTGTGGACAAATTCCAGCATTACAAGAGTGACACTTAAATTTCAAATAATCACAAACAAAGCAAGTGAAAATAAAGCCTTTCTCACCCCTTCTACAGCCAAAAACCAACCAAACAAACAAAAAAGGACAGAACAAACCACACATACACACACATACACACACAATCGGCAACTGCAGACGGTTCTATTAAAAGCAAAACATGTAATCCAAGAGTTAATAATTGCAGTTGTTTACTGTTGAGTCTTGGATGTTACTAGAAAACTTTATGAATAGCCCTGAAACATTGTATGATACATTGCCAGAAGATGAGCCTTTAGGTTGGAAATGACTCAAAATCCAACTGGGGAAAAGCTGCCTTCTCAAAGTAGTCAACCTTAATGATGTTGGTGGAGTACAACTTTCAGGACCTTCATTTGCTGATAATGCACAACTCAAAATGGGAAAAAACACCTGCAAACATTCATTAATCAGAACATGAAATATACAAAGTACACTTTGGAAGCAGTCAACAATGCAATGGAATACATAAAAATCAATATCCTAGGCATTATTTTTGTTGTTGTTAGGTGCTGTCAAGTTGTCATAGCAACCTTATGCAAAACAGAACACAACACTGCTCAGTCCTGCACCATCCTCACTATATCTGAGCTCACTGTACAGCCACTGCTGTCAATCCATCTTGTTGAGGGCCTTCCTCTTTTTCATTGACAATGAGCTGAAATGTACTGGGATTGGTCATTTTGAATCACACAATCATATGGTTTACTATGCTGGGAAGGACAAATTGAAGAGGAATGGTGTCGCATTTATCATCAAAAAGAACATTTCAAGATCTATCGTGAAGTACAATGTGGTCATTGGATAATATCCATATGCCTATAAGGAAGACCAGTTAATACGTCTATTACTCAAATTTATGCACCAACCACCAAAGCCAAAGATGAAGAAATTGAAGATTTTTACCAGCTTCTGCAGTCTGAAATAGATTAAAAAAAAAATGCTATCAAGATATACTAATAATTACTGGTGACTGGAATGCACAAGCTGGAAACAAAGAAGCATCAGCAGTTGGAAAATATGGCCTTGGTGACAGAAATGATGTTGGGGATTATATGACACAATTTTGCAAGACCAATGACTTATTCATTGCAAATACCTTTTTTCCAACAACATAAACCATGATACACATAACATACACATGGACCTCACCAAATGGAATACAGAGAAATCAAATTGACTGTATCAGTGGAAAGAGGTGATGGAGAAGCTCAATATCATCGATTAAAACAAGGCCAGGAGGTGGCTGTGGAACAGACCATCAAATACACATATGGAAGCTGAAGTTGAAGCTGAAGAAAATTCAAAGAAGCCTATGAGAGGCAAAATATGGTACATCATACCTGAATTTAGAGACCATGTGAAGAACATATTAGACAAACTGAACACCAGTGACTGAATACCACATGAGTTGTGGAATGACATCAAGATCATCATGCATGAAGAAAACAAAAGTTCATTCAAAAGACAGAAAAGGAAGAAAAGATGAAAATGGATGCCAGAAAAGACTCTGAAACTTGCTCTTGAACAGAGTAGCTAAAGTGAAAAGAAAAATGCTGATATAAAAGAGCTGGACAGAAGATTTCAAAGGGTTGCTTGTGAAGACAAAGTCAATTATTATAATGAAATGTGCAAAGACCTAGAATTAGAAAACCCAAAGGGAAGAACACGCTCGGCATTTCTCAAGCTGAAAGAACTGAAGAAAAAAATTCAAGCCTTGAATTACAATACTGAAGGATTCTATGGGCAAAATAATGAACAATGCAGGATGCATCAAAAGATAGAAGGGATGCACAGAGTAACAGTATCAAAAAGAACTGGCTGATGTTCAATCATTTCAGGAGGTAGCATATGAATGAGAACCAATGGTATTGAAGGAAGAAGTCCAAGCTGCACAGAAGGCATTAGCAAAAGAACAAGGCTTCAGGAATTAAGAGAATATCCACTGAGATGTTTCAACAGACAGGTGTAGTGCTAGAGGCACTTACTCATTTATGCCAGTAAATTTGGAAGTTATCTGGTCAACCAACTGGAAGAGATCCATATTTGTGCCCATTCCAAAGAACAGTGATCCATCAGAATGTGGAAATTATTGTATAATAACATTAATAGTACACACAAGTAAAATTTTGCTAAAGGTAATTCAAAAACAGTTGCAGCAGTATACTGACAGAGAACTTCCAGAAATTAAAGCTGGAGTCAGAAGAGAACGTGGAACGAGGGATATCATTGCTGATGTCAGATGTATCTTCAAACCAAACCAAACTCACTGCCACTGAGTCAATTCCAACTCATAGTGAAATTCCACTGGGTTTCTGAGGCTGTAAATCTTTACAGAAGTAGAGCACTCCATTTCCTTCTGTGGAGTGGCTGGTGGTTTGAACTGATGACCTTCTGGTTAGCAGCCAAATGTCTTAGCCACTATGCCACCAGAGCTCCTTTAGATGTATCTCAGCTGAGAGTAAAGAATATCAGAAAGATGTTTACAAGTGTTTTACTGATTATGCAAAGGTTGTGTCTATCATAACAAATTATGGGTAACATTTGAAGAACGGGAATTCCAGAACACTTAATTATGTTTACGAGGAATCTGTAAATACACCAAAAGACTGCTGGTTGAACAGAACAAGAAGATACTGCATGGTTTAAAATCAAGAAGGGTGTACATCAAGGTTGTATCCTTTCACCATACTTATTCAATCTGTATGCTGAGCAAATAATCAGAAAAATGGACTATATAAAGAACATGGCATCAGGATTGAAGAAAGTCTCATTAACAACCTATGATATGCACAGTACACAACCTTGCTTGCTGAAAGTGAAGAAGATTTAAAGCACCTACTGATGAAGATCAAAGACTACAGTCTTCAGTATGGATTATATCTCAACATAAGGAAAACAAAAATCCTCACAACTGGACCAATAATCAACATCACAATAAATGGAGAAAAGACTGAAGTTATCAAGGATTTCATTTTACTCGGATCTACAATCAATACTCATGGAAGCAACAGTCAAGCAATCAGACACTGCAAATACGCTGCAAACAACCTCTTTAAAGTATTGAAGAGCAAAGATGTCACTTTGAAGATTAAGGTGCACCTAACCCAAGCCATGGTATTTTCGATAGCCTCACATGCATGTGAAAGCTGGACAATGTATAAGGAAGACTGAAGAAGAACTGATATCCTTGAACTGTGGTGTTGGTGAAGAATACTGAACATATACGATGGACTGCCAGAAGATCGAACAAGTCTATCATGAAAGAAGTGCAGCTGCAATGCTCCTTAGAAGTAAGAACGGCCAGACTTCATCTCACCTACTTTGGTCACATAGTTAGAAGAGATCAGTCCCTGGAGGAGGCTATCATGCTTGGTAAAGTGGAGGGCCAAGGTAAAAATGGAAGAGCCTTAATGAGACAGT